TCGGTTGTCCTTGCAGCATTCCCCTTCTGTAAATGTTAATGTTGACCAGCAAGTCAATATCCTTAACGGTGAGTATAATCCTGTAAGGCTGTGTGTGCGTAATTATTCCATCACTGTCAATATTTTAACATCAATACTGTGTTGTAAATGTGTTTGCATTTTGTCAACGGGGGAATCTGTTGTGGGGAGTCTGCGCATGAGAAACTGTAACACACAAAACACATGGCTCATTAAAGTCTGTTTTAATTACATTTAGAGCTGATGCAACCAGTGTACTGAAAGCTCCAACTTGCCAGTTACAACTAAAGCATCTCAAGAGATGTGATACTAAATGAACTCTGAAAATGTGACTGTACTTGTTTTTATTGAACCAAAATAACTAAAAATACAGTAGTGCAAGAAGATCCAAGGTGTTTAGTACTGTGCAAAAGTTCTTTTAATTCCTTTATATTTTTCTTCCAAGAATCCAGACTTTCCTCTAAGTTGTTAAAGCCGTCTCCAGGTTTTCTGAATATATTTCAGGGGATTTTTCTTCACATTTCCTGCTTTTTCATTCATTTTCAATGTCGTCCCTGTACATGAACATTTTCAGAGAAATTTTATTTTTTTAAACCACTTAACACTGACTTATGAATCATTCAGCCACAAAAAGCACCTTACTGAACCAATACTCTTTCTACTTATAAGAGGCAACCTGACAAAGCCAATTTTAGTACCTAATAAAAAAAAATTAGGCAAAAAACCCAAACATTTGTTTTTATTTCTTTAGTTGAATTTCCCCAAAAAATGCCAGTCATAACAATTACAAACACATAAAAGTAGTACATTAGCACCATCATGATGATTTCTAAAGAGCCAAACATTTGGCATCTGTCAGCATGGTGTACTGTGTGTTGTTAAAAAATGATGTGGCAGGCCTAACAACAGTACCTCAGACAAACAGTATCTTAAAGCCAATTCCTTAAGAAACAGGAAAAAAAAAACAATAAAGAGCTGGCGCAGGGCCTTTGAGATGCATCTGGTCCATTAGTTGATCCATCTGCTGAAATGTTCTCAAACTTTTTTTCTTCTTAATTTTTTGGTTGTGATTGTTGGCGGATGGACAGGTGGAGGTCAGGAGAGAGGTATAACAGCGAGTGTCTACGGCCATCTGTAAAACTGTCTCTGTCATTGCAGCCAGTGATCTCACGGATTTTGTCATAATTAATTATGAAAGCAACATCAGATTTGGATCCACCATGGAATACCCCCGGGAACGCTGGTGAAAAATGATCTCAGAAACATTGTCAATCCAGTAAAACCATAAAAACACACAGTTGTGCTATTGAAGCAGTGTGGGATCATTTTATCGACCAAGAACAGAACAAAAGGCAGAAAACATCCAGAGGATTGTTTTGAATGCCCTTCATTCAGTCACTGCAATACTGCACTTGTGAAAAAGAAAAACGTCATCGAGACATTTCAGTGCATCAGATATCTCGTTGATGGTTTTCCTCCATGATCACAGTTAATGTTACTCCAGATCCACCACTGCAACTGACCAATCATGTTGCTGTGATGTCAAAGTTCTGTGACTTGCAGGTCAAAGGCAGATGTGCTTTGGCTTCATTTTCCAGTTCCAGAAACAACATCCAAAACATAGCTACACCAACATCATACACTGACGTCACGGTTCTCTATGGATTAAAAAATAAAGCAATGGTAAGGTGAAACGTCAGGTGGACGGCAGGTTGGTGCTGCATCAGCAACAATGCAGACATTATACAAGGCTCTTGAGATGGAGACGCAGGTCGAGAGCTGAGTTGAAAAGTGAAGCTTTCATTTTTACCAGTCTGTTCCACTACTAACTTATAGTCGTAATAACAGAATGAATGTAAATGAGGTCACAAGCTCAAGGAGCCATGATGAGATTCTTCTGTAAGAATGCTGGGGTCGGGCTTAGCGGTAGGGTGAGAAACGCTGATATCAGAAGCGAGCCGCTCCAACTGCCTTTTTTCAACATGAAGAAGTGCTTCAGATATCTGGTTAAGATGCCTTCTGGGCAGGTGCATCCCTTCAAAAGGTTTTACAAGCATGCCCATCAGTGAGGGGATCCCGGGAACACACTGAGGAGGTTAGATTTCAGCTGGTCGGGGAATGGCTTGAGGTCTACCAGGAAGAATTGGAAAGTGCTAGGAAGAATGATTTTTTGGATTACTGTGCTTAGCTCATTTCCACTGTGACTCAACTTTGGATAAGTGGAAGGTAATTGATACACGGACATATGGCTACAACCCATAAACCAAACATTACGATTCACTAGAAAAACCCAAAACTTGGAAAACAGAAAACTGGCACAGCACGAGAGTGAGCATGACCGTTGTTTACTTAAGCATTCTGCATCATGAATTTATTCCCCTAGGATCAGTTTACGGACCGAATCTGATTAAGACTCTGTGGCTCTATTAAAATTAACTCAGGTATGGTTTGAACTTTTCTAGATTTTCGCTAAACTTTCTGACCACATTTCTTTTGTTATGAAGTCAAAACGGCACAAAAACTATCCAGTAATTATGAATTTTGGCACATCTTAGTGATGGGTTCATCAATAAGCTGCTGAAACACAGTCCAGAATCCAGGCAAAGGCAGAGAATTATGTATGAAGAGTTACATTTTTCAAGTGTTCACCACACAAATATACTGCTTGAACTAAGTCGGGGATGGAGTCTCTCCCAGCGTGCAGAGGCAGGAAAACACCCTGCCTGCCAATCACAGCACTAATATACCGTGACATACAATTCAAACATGGCAAAACTAATGCACACACACACACTGTAGGCAGAGAGCTGCTTGTATTTGGACAGGAGGACTCAGTTTACTGTATCCACTGACTCTTCAAACACCTTCAGACAATTCAATACAAACCTGAATTATTCCTTACTTTTACGCAAGTCTTCACAGTAATCACGTCTCAGATGCTTCATCATTAGGGGGCATCAAATATTTGTTGATATGCACCCAGCGTGCTATGGGAATAACAAAGGGAAAAAATAGGAGAGGTGTGCCTTCCCAGCACTTTCATCTAATTTATCAGTGATTGCCAATCACCCAGATAGATTCAGGGCATCTCCGTGTTTGAAAAACCCAAATTTTATGTTTGCGGTTTCATGTTTAACATTCCCTTTGACTGAAGATGGAGTAAAAAACCCTTAAAACAACATAATCCAAATATATATGACCTAAATTGGGGAGGGGGGAGTAAAAACGGGAAATATGGTAAAGCACTTTGGATGCAAACTCGAATCCGTCTCTGGAATCTTCCAAGCAGCCTAACTGCATATAATAAAGCATCTATAATTAACACATTTTGGCATTAATTCAAGCCAGATTACCCTGATATTTGAAACTGCTGAAGGACATGCCAAACTACATTTTGTTAATTCCAGGCACAATTAAGTCCATGCTTACCAGCCTGAAACTTTACATTACACTGTCATAAACACGAGTTGTGGAATGGGAGATTCTCTTGCAATTTGCAACTGTTTACTTGTGCTTACTGTATAATCTTAGCCATTACTCAGTGGTAAATGGAGAGTGGAAGTGTGTGGAAACTGAACGCACTCTAAATAGAGTTAAGCTCAAGACTTGTGTGTCCCCAGAGGCTCAGATATCCAGTATTTAATGGCTTTGTGAAAGCAAGGCAGTGGCTTCAATTGAATTAAAGGTGCTGGACGCCCAGCGAAGGCGACAAAAGGACAAATGTAGGTAAAGATGTGCCAGAAGCTGTCCTTTTAAATGAACCAAGAACTTAAAACTTTACAGCAAGGTATCCATGGAAACATGTTTACTGACACATATGAAAAATCAACTGTGGATGCAAGTGGTGATATATAATTTTAACCCTATTTCTGAAGACAGTGCTTGGTTAAGTAACATGTCCTGCAGCCTATGATGGACTTTTCTTTACAGAGCTGACTCACAGAATATGAAAGTCTGGTAAAAGGTCAGGTCATCTGTTTTCTTGCTAAAGTAGCCTAAACATGATATCCTGCTAAATATAAAGCCCTGAAGGAAGCTCGGTGAACTCACGACAAAAGATGGTGATAATAATAATAATAATAATAATAATAATAATAATAATAACAATAACAATAATAACAACAACAACAACAACAACAATAATAATAATAGCTGTATTACAACTGCGGTTCGAGAGCGCTATAACGGAAACAATTAGCAGTCACTTATTTAAACTTATTTTGTTGTCATCTCAAATCGTAAACACTGGTTTGTTTATTTTTTTTTATTATTGTTACTGTAAAGAGTTAAATTAAATGTGAAAAATAATATCAAGCTATAAGAGCTAAGCTGCTTAGTGCACCTGCAACATAAATGCTACAACCTATCAAACCATACCGGATAATCATTTAACCAAACGCGCCGTTTCATCACAGAGAAGAAACTACGTACCAGACTTAATTTAGGAATTAGCCAATGTAATGATTACGCGCTCGTTTGTTCAATTACACTGTTCACATAATGTAATAAACAGCAATAATACATTAGTATAGTCTTTTGCTGGATTCGGCTAATGCAACAATAAATAATACATAAATTGATATGTTTCCATAGATATTGTTCTTAAACCTGTAGCACTTGGATATTAGCAGCTCATGCCTAATAGATCATTTATCGTTATATGACCAGCAAAACGCCATCTAGAAAAGTTGAACGTTTGTTTGTTTTTTAAGTAAGAGAGCGATAGTTTTCTAGATGTATGCCGAACTGTACAGCTATTCATGACGCTTTGGAAACGATTGACACCTGAACGCGAGCCTGTGCAGCGTCAAGCAGTTAAAAGCAAAGAAGCATAAATAGTATAATTTTAAAGGAAGCTTGGAGCTGCCTTCCACATCAGCGGCAACTGCCCGAGTGCTCTTTCGGAGTGCCCTAACACGGAAACTGCAAACTGCTGTTAGATTTCAGTCATTCACAGGGAATGACTGAAAGGGTTTACTTGCCGAAGTTGGAACCGGGAGGCTGGCGGGTCGCTCGATCAGCTCAGGTTGCTGTTTCCCGGTAACATTCATCTCCCGTACAACCGCTTTCTCTGTCCGCTCACTTCGACGAGAGTTTCTCAAGTCATTTATCCAGCCGCTGAAGGGAAGTGTTATTCACCGGCGTCCCGCTTACCCACGAAGACAGAAGGAGAAAGCATGCCTGAAAAGCTCGGGGGTTCTTCGAAAAAGGAAAAACAGGAAAACAGCCGTGCGTATCCTGAGATGACCACGGTGGTGCCCGCTGCAGGGACGAACTAGGAGCGCCCGTCGCTGCTCGTTTCTCCCCGGCTCAGCCCCAACTGTCAGCACACAGCGGCTCCTCTGCTTCTTCTGCTGCTGCTGCTGCTGCTGCTCCTCATCAGTCTGCATGACTCCCCACCTGCTGCCTGTCCTCCTATTAACCATTCCTGCGTCAAACCACAGCACATTAACCCGTTCACTGATGCTGGAGTCCTGGAGGCATTTTAATCAGCAGAAATCACGGATGCATATTTATCATAATTAGTGCTCGGATCCTCTAATGATGGGCTATATTGCAATCAACAACATTTATGTTCACTAAACAGCAACATTGTCCTTGAACTTTGCGGCCAGGTGAAGGCTCCCCGACTGTGTGAGCACGGTAATTGTTAATGGATACTGGCACAAATTAATTTCTGTGGCATCCTCAAAGCCGCGCTTGAGGGAAAGAAGGCTCATCTTCCTGATGGAGGGTGATGGGTCAGAGAAGGGCTTTTTTATTTTATTTTATTTTTTTTAAGTCAATCTTATCACCGGCTCCTCAGAGCTGGCCTCAGGGATCCAGCCAATGCGGCCTGACTCATGTTGGATTTCAGTGGTATAGACAGCTTTATACACAGAATATGATACCTCTTCTAATAACCATCTTTCTTTTTTCCAGGAGAAATAGAGGTTAAAAATAGACTCACAACTATCTAAGGGCACACAATACCTGAGAGATGGTTTCATTCTGTGTGGTTACAGCCCTATAATCAGTGGCAGACTTTTGTTTTGTATTTTTTTATGTTCCGGATTAGAGCGCTAATGTGGATCTGGGAGAGTAACAATGATGAAGCGCCCCATTGCAATATATTACAGCCTAGCACTTTCATCAGAGTATGAAAAGGTATCATCAGAGGACTGGGAGAGGTGCAATTGTTAGGGAAGCTACTTCAGCTTCATACTTCAATGGCTGGCTTCCCACTCAGCATCCTGCAAAATCTGATGTTTTATGGCTGTTATGGATTTGGGGAGGAGAAAAAAAAATCTGCTTTCCAACTTATTACTGCTACTGCAAATACAGCAGGCCTTGTGGAGTTGAGTGTGCAGCCTTGAGTTTCAGGTAAACATTTCTTGAGGCAGAACTGCAAAGGTCAAAAGGCTGTGCATAGATGAAGCAGCTCACATGTTAAAATACATTTCTGTATTTTATATTAAAGAAAACCCGTGCAGCTCTGCCCTCAGTAAGAACTACCACTTAAGCCCACTGGAGCACCATTATCTATTTATTGGTGCTCAGCCTAAACTGATAGGACTCCAAAAATAAGTCGAGGCAAAACAAACAACACGAAAAACTTTCTTTCTCAGAGGGAATAGTAAAAAAGAAACACGTCTCTAAGACAGACCACAGAGAACCCAAGAATAGCACGGAGCACCCCGGGATAGGCCTCTTTTTTCCCTCAGGAGACATGATTGAATGTCACGAAGGAAAAGCGCAAATGCAGATAGAAAGAAGAAATGAAACCTGGATGAATTCTATAGAGTCCTGCTGTTGGGTGGGCCACGTGAAGAGATTAGCAGGTGCGCGATGATGGGCAAAATCCGTTATCTCATACACATAATAGAAACAGAAGGCTTGATGCAGCCATCGGTATCGCCCTTCGGTGGCCATGTCGTGAATTAGAAAAACGTACTTTACTTCATTGAATAAATAAATAATGAAATAAGCACAGTATTGTATTTAAGAGTTAAGAAGCTTTTCCCTTCTCTGTGCAAAAACCTATAATTCTAAAACAATTAATCATAATCAAATTTAGCACTGACCTGGATAACAGGGTGTTTTCCTTCAGTTAGTAAATATGTAAAAGCTCCACAACTTTGCAGGGATGCATTAAATGCTTCTGCTACCATGTAACTAAAGCAACGGTATCTATTTGGGACCTTTGTTGAATTTGTTGCAGGCAACATTACAACATTACAAGACCAGCAAAGATGATATTGAGCACTAGGGTGTGTGGAAGTGGCTCAAATCAAATACCGTGCCATGCTCCTTAGACAAAAACTGGTTCATCCCAAGGCGAAACCAAACAGCCATTTCAGAAACGCATGGCACAATTTGGAAGAGCCTCCTCGACAGGACAAGACTGAGCCGCACATCTGCACCAAAAGGATAAAGGTCACTCTTTCAAGGATGCCAATGCTCACATCTTGGACAGAGAAGACAGATGGTTACAGGAGTAAAAGAGGCCATCTATTTCCACTGTGAACGACCATCACTAACACCAGCTAGCAACAGTCTTGAGGTCCCTACCCAGGCACCTCAGCCCCCACCCACAGGTGACTTCAACAGATAACATGCATAATAGGTGTCAAAGTGCTTTCACCTGAAAACTCAGGTGGTAATGACCAACACCTTTTTTCCACACCTTTTCACCCCTTGGCTCATGTAATGGTGTGCTTGATTAACAGATTAATACATGATTAATACAAGATTAACGACCACCTAATGGACAACCTCCACTAGGGTTTAAATACCTGGTGCTCTCCACCTTTTGGTCTTAGAACTAAGAGGTTGTGTAAAGAACTGTACTGTGTAAAGAAAACAAGCAGAAACTAATATCTAAAAGTACTATCAGTACTGAGTAGCAGTAGCATTACTATTGTTTTACTGAAATTTCGGGGCTGCAGGGGACTGAAACCCAACACAGCAAATGACAGGCTGCACAGCACAACCTAAAGCAGGCAGACAGGCTTCACATCTACTACTGTTTCTGAGTTGAGTCTTGTTAGAGCTGTAGCTCAGACTTTAATAAGACTAAGGTATCTGTATGTCACCTCTACATTTCAGTACTTTAAACTTTAATATGTAATAAATTTTTTAGATTGAAGGGAAAATTCCATCCAAGTGTGATGCAGTCCTAACATCTGGTCAAAGCTCCACAGTGCAGAAGGAAATAGACGTCCAACCATCAATCAGTTATTTTTAAAGCGCTCTCCAATCTAAGCGCATCATGCTGGATCTCACTCTTCCATCTTTAACTTCTGTGATGCTGAAAAAGCCTAATTCAAGGCTTCAAAGTGACTTTCTTCCTCTGATATTATATATAAAAGTGTTGCTTTTCTAGGGTTGTGTTTTACATATTGCGGATATATTTTTTTAGTGTTATATCTGGTGTTGAAGATAATCCTCCATGAAAACCAGTTTGTTCAAAAACCTATTCAGTGATCACTAGGCTAGATTCTGCCACTCTGACCCTACTTTGTCCCTTTTGACTGGAGACTAATGATGCACATGTTCCCAAAGTTTTGTGCTCATTTTCCTAAGTTTGCATTTTACATTACAGGTTTATAATTTAGGCATATTTCTGGTGTTGAAAATAACACTTCACCAAAACCAGTTGTGCTCAGATGCCTGGCCTAAATCACTGATCGCTGCTGGTGGGCTACTTTCTTTCACCCTGACCCTTCTTTGTCCCTGGCGACTGTAGAGTAATGATGCACATGTTCCCAAAGTGTTGTTCTTGTTCCCTCTAAGGGGTGTTTGTCAGGGTGAACTTGGAACATCTCAGATGTCACTGTCTGCAAAGTTTTAAAGTTTTCCTCCAGGGGCAGCAGGTGAGGTGAATTTGCTGTTTTGACACGTAAGGGATTTCTTAAACTTTTCTATCTGTTTTTTAACAATACCCAGAACTGAGTTTTCCCCTGATTATGGTATCCAATGTTAAAAGGTAAGTGAATTTAGGTGAAACTGCTGTTTTAATCCTTCCATATCTTAGGGCAGCCTTTGTGTGGCTGAATTCTCTGCTTGGCATTAAGGAATCTGCTGTAAATTGGTTCAGCTTCTATCTTTTCTGTACTGTAAAACCTTTTCTGTTCAAATTGGAAAGTAATCAGACGGTAATCCTCTGCAGACAATAAGAGGGGCATGGTTCCTCCATGGTCACCCTAAGGTCCAATGCTTTCTTGCATTCCTCCTGGGTTCCTATTCATACCATTTATCTCTTTTTCTACAGTTCCTTCTTGCTTTTAGGAGTAACTTTTGATCCAGAAACCCATAATGTTATGGATTACATAACACTGTACACCAAAGTAAGTCACTCCTCGAGAACTGCTTTCTCATAGGTACGACCAGCCTTTTCCAGGCTGTGTTTAAATCAGTCTTTACAGTTTTAACTATGTAGTGCATTGCGTTTACTGTCCAAACTCTACAAATTCTACAGACCTTGTAAAATCATATGTCTGTGTGAAATGTAAAGGAAAAACAATATAGTAATTTCTACATTTTTAATTCAAAATATTACAAAGGCAACATCTGAAATGCTGCAACTGCATAAAAACACACAACTGTGTAGCAGATGGAACTTAATAGGTTCAGCAACACTCCTGAAAACCTCTCTCACTGAACAAATGCCCACCAGCTACTTCATTAGAGACCTGCAGGTCTCACTTACTTCAGTTAAGGTCAGTTTTCCTGATTCAACAATTAGAAAAAGACTGGGCAAAGTTTGCAAACCACTACTGATCAAAAAGAACACAAAGGATCGTCTTATATTTGCTAAGAAAAAAAATGTCTTCATGAGCCCCAAAACTTTGGGGAAAAACTCTGTGGAGTGATGAGATAAAAGCTCAACTTTCTGGCAGGTTTGAGTCTCACTTCATGTGGTGTAAAACTAACACAACTTTCATAAAGAGACCGTCATACGAACAGTCAAACATGGTGTTGGTAGTCTGATGGTGTGGGGCTGCTTCAGGATCTAGACAGCTTACCATAATTGATGAAATCATGAATTTTGCTCTCTACCAGAAAATTCCAAGGGAGAATGTCCGGCCATCAGTTTGTACTATGAAACTCAAGCACACTGGGGTTATGCAGCATGCCAGCAAGCCCACCTCTGAATGGCTAAAAAACATTTTGAAGTGGTTTAGTCAAAGTCTGGACTGAATATGATTAAGATTCCTGGGTTGATTTTAGGAGTTTTAGTGTGTCTGCAACCCAGATGACGTCTGAATATACAGAGCTGCTGTGTGGAGTTCCTCAGGGCTCTGTGCTGGGACCTATTTTGTTCTTAATTTACATTCTTCCTTTAGGCCAGATAATACGGCAGTTTCCTGATATTTTTGCTGATGACAGTCAGCTTAATATTGCACCAGACAG